GCAACAAAACAGAGTACCCAAAAAAATACCACATTCCCCTGCTACACTAAACACAGATTTTGTGTTCTACCATGGAAAAATAAAGACAAATAAAGGAGAGAGGAGCCTTTATTGACCACAAAAATCATTCTCTCATACAATGGAAGATGCATTGCAAAAAAGGTTCATTTTTCAGTCTACAAGAATGTTATACTGCATGAAGTAAACAAGTTATCAATCTGTACATAGAAAAAGTTATCATCCACTTTAGCTAAGTACTAACATTGGATAAAGAAAAGTGTTGCCTTTTAATGGAGATGCTCATGTTGTACTGTAAATTGTCCTGTTTAGTGTTCTTCCCAATCACCCCTGCGATTCTTGCCTTCAAACACCTGTGTAAAGAGTAAAACAAAACAATGAGTTTCAAAAAAAGAGTGAACACATGTAAATGTGTACTAACGTGCAAACATAAAAACAAATCAAGCAGGAGTAGATAAATGGATGCTAGTAGAGGAGATAATGCAGAGGATGAAGGAGGGGGTAGAATGCATGAAGAAGGCGATGCAGCGCGCACAACAAGCAGCAATTCAGCATACCCAAACATCATGGGGACAGGTAAAATTACCAACATTACTGTTTACATATCATCATGGAATGAAAATTCCAGTCTTATACTTTACTATTGAAGTGGGTTTGAAATTTACCAGCATTTGTGCACACATATTACCAGGTCCAAAAAATGCAAATTACCAGGGTTTTTTAGGCATAAAGAATACTTTACTATTGAAGTGGGTTTAAAACTTACCAGCATTGGTGCACACATATTACCATGTCCATAGGATGCAAATTACTAGTGTTTTTTAGACAGAAAAGAAATGCTTTACTGTTGAAGTGGGTTTGTAAATTACCAGCATTGGTGCACTCATAATACCAGGTTCAGAGTATGCAAATTACCAGGGTTGTTTAGGCAGAAAAAGAAAGATACATTCACTGAATCTTCGGAAAACTACCATGATGGAAAACTGTTATTTATCATGTAATATTCCATTAAATCTACCAGGCCAAATTGCAGGTGCTCGGGCAATCAGCGCAAACAACAGCTTGCCCAGTGGTGGAACAAGTGCACATAGTGCTGGAACAAATGCAAGCACAGGAGCTGGGAGCCTTGGAGAGCAGACAATAAGCGAACCAGCAACTCCAGAATCTGCTGGGATCGATGCTGATATGGAAGGCAGCAACATGGAGGCATATTCCACACCTAAGCCACCTTTGCAAGGGACAAAATTTGACACCCTGAAGAGCGCACGTGACCACTATAGCACCTACGCGCGCAGGACTGGCTTTGCAATTAGGCAGCAATTCAAGAAAGAGAGGGTTGATGGAACTATAAGCAGGGTGCTACTAGTTTGTACAAAATATGACAAACGGCACAAGGACAGGGATGAGCTGCAAGATGTGGAAAACCCAGCCAGCATTGTTAAGAAGAGGGAAAAAAGAAAGTTGTTAGGACTGAATGTGAAGCGCACATGTACCTATCCCACGATGATGCATGGTGGACTGTTGACCGTTTCGAGGACACCCACAATCACCCCCTGATCAAAAAGCCTTCCCTAACAAAATTCTTATCATCACATCGGTACATTCCGAAGGAGGAGCAGGACTTCTTGAGGGTTCTGCACGGATGCAACGTTGAGACTGTGAGGCAGATGCAGCTGATGTCATGGTTCTACGGGAGCGCTAAAGACGTACCCTACACGACACAAGACATTGCTAATCAATGAGCTAAGTTCCACTTAGAGCACCGCCACAAGGACGTTGGGAGCACAATTGCATACTTCCAAGAGATGAGGGCAAAAGATTCATATTTCTACTGGAGAATCAAACTTGATGATGAGGACAGGGTTGAGAACTTGTTCTGGATAGATGGCGCATCACGCAGGGCATATGCAAAGTATAATGACTGTTTGTCGTTTGACACGACAAACATGTACAAGATGCTGTGTGCACCATTCATTGGAATTAATAACCATGGTCAATCCATCCAGTTTGGGTGTGGCTTCGTTCGAAACGAACTAAAGAAAAACTTTGTGTGGTTGTTTAACACATTCCTCCATGCAATGGGTGGTGTTGCCCCTAAAAACATCATCACAGACCAGGACTTTGCAATAAGGAGTGCGATCGACGAGGTCTTCTTGAACATAATACACAGAAATTGCCGCTGACATATAATGAAGAAGGCGCAGGATAAACTTGGAAAACTTATGGCTGATGATAAACCACTAAACAGAGCGTTCAAAGACTATGTCGACAACAACTTGACTGGTACGTACCTAATATGTTGACCCATTTTAATTACCATGCAGCAAACTTGAGAAGCCATATGAATATATGTGATGCACAAGTTACCATGTGTGGGTCTACACAAGTTACCATGATCTTGTTGGCTATATTACCAGGGGCAGTTACATATGTTGATACCAACTTGTGGTTTAGAAAAGTTACCAGATCTGGAAAAACTGTTCAATAAAGTTACCATCTAACAACTAAGAAAAGTTACCAGCATACTTGTACTTTAATTACCAATGATTGTGTATGATGTTGTAATTGTCTCATGTTTTGTGTATCATAGAGGAAGAGTTTGAAAACAAATGGTGGGCAATGATGGATGAATATGGCCAGATCGAAAACGAACATTTTCAATGGATGTGGGAAAATATGAAATGTTGGGCCCCAGTGTACTACATGAAGCATTTCTTTCCATTCTTGCAGACAACTGCAAGGAGCGAGGGATTCAATGCTGTGCTCAAGAAGTACGTGAACCCCAACAACTCATTGATTGAATTCGCAACTCAATACACTGCAATCCAGGAGAAAGTAATGGTGGCTGTGGCGAAAGAGCAAGTGGACACAATTTACAAAGAGGCAGACATGTATTCGTTGAACCCAATCGAGTTACAAATGCGAGGGATATACACACAAAATCTGTTCTCCAAGTTCCAGGTAGAGATGAAGCTAAAGACTGCTTACGGATGTGACACTTTGCAAGATGGAACATTCAGGATGTGGTCGCTCCGAGGCATACTACCAAAGTATGGGGATAGGGACTACCATGTGCAGGCGAACAAGGATGAAGGGGTATACTCATGCACTTGCTGCAAATTTGATCGCGATGGGCTATTATGTGCACACATACTACGAGTAATGGAACATATTGGAGTCTACGAGATACCAAGGAGGTATATCCTGGATAGGTGGACATGGGATCCAGAAGAGGATCTTGTTCAGCCTGATTACCAACGGCCAACAATTAAGAAGGGTATGACAGAGGAAGGAAAAAATATCATAAGATATACATCTATTCTGAATGATTTCAAGGAACAAGCAAAAGACGCTTGCACTACTGATGAAGGGATGGCATTGGCAAGGAAACATGTTAATGCTTTCAGAAACGACATGGATGCACTAAAAAACAGGCAGCTAAAGAAAGCAAGAAAGGAAAAAGATGAGGGAAAAGAAGCACAAATGTTTTCTTCACCAGGGACTAGTGCCCCTGAAGGTGTCCCAGTAGCGCATCAAGGAAGCATTCCTGTCACGCATGTGTCTGGCATTATTTTCCAGTTCCAGGGCTCACATGCCGAGGGATCCCAATCATCAAACACAAGAGTGATACTAGACCCACCAAAGTCTACTACGAAAGGGCGTCCGAGAGAGAAAAGATTCCAGCACCCATTTGACATTGCAAAGCCAAAAAAAGAGGAAGTGTACCCATTCCTGTCACCCGGGTCGACAGATCATGATAAACGCAAATGTACCTCACCCATCCTGCACTGAGAAATGCAAGTTAGATGGGCATTGAAATGCAAGTTAGAGATTTTACTTATCAATTTTACCCATTTTATTGTGTAAAATGGTGTCGAGACACCATGTAATGAAAAGTTATCAGCACTGAAGCATGTAAGTTATCGTCCAGAATGTAATGGGGATTTTCAGAAATGAGAATGAGATTAGTTATCG